GAGACCCAGGCTCACTCGGGCTGCCCCCGCGGCCAGGCTCTGGCCGGCTGCCGGGTGGCCGCGGTCTTCATGCAGTACGGCGTCGTGGCCAACTACTGCTGGCTGCTGGTGGAGGGCGTGTACCTGCACAGCCTGCTGGGCCCTGCCACCTTCTCCGAGAGGGACTTCTTCACCTACTACCTGGGCATCGGCTGGGGTGAGTGAACCGGGGTGGGGTGGGGGACAGGCTGGCCATAGCCTGGGGACCACAGCTGCCGCCCCCCGCAGGCGCCCCCATGCTGTTCGTCATCCCCTGGGCAGTGGTCAAGAGTCTGTTCGAGAATGTCCAGTGAGTATGAGCGACCCAAGGATGGCCAGAGCTCAGCTCCCCCGGTCCTGGGCCGCGTGTGGGGTGGCAGGGCGGTCTCTGGCCAGAGTCAGCAGAGGGGGTAAGCCAACCGGCGTTCGGGCTGGGGGGTCAGGGTGCCCCCCTCCCCTTCTTTCCTGAGACTCTGATTAGACCCCCAGGGACTCGGGGGCGGGGGGGAGGGGCTGCTGGGACGAGAGCCAGGCCCCACTGCAGGTGCTGGACCAGCAACGACAACATGGGCTTCTGGTGGATCCTGCGCTTTCCCGTCTTCCTGGCCATCCTGGTGAGGGAACGAGGCACATGTTGGCCCCTCGGGGAGGGGTGCGGGGTGGTGGGTCGGCCCCAGCCCCCTTCCTGTCGGCATGCAGTGGCCAAGGAGACGGGCCCCATCCCGCCTTGGCATTCAAGGAGGGCGGCCCCGGCACTCGGCCAGGACACTGGCCGGCGCCCTGGCCTGACGCCGGGCTGCCCATCCTTGGCTGGGTGCCCACCAGCCCAAGGCTCTGCGTGGCCGCCAGGCCCATCTGCGGGAGGACCAAACGGGGGCCCAGGGCCACCCTGAGCCATGCCCTCCACGTGCAGATCAACTTCTTCATTTTCATCCGCATCCTTCACATCCTCGTGGCCAAGCTGCGTGCCCACCAGATGCGCTACTCCGACTACAAGCTCCGGTGGGTGTGGGGGGCGGGGCGGGGTGAGGCGGGCGGGGCCTGAGGGGACACCGGGCGCAGTGGCTCAGGCTCCACTCCCGCAGGCTGGCCAAGTCCACGCTGACCCTCATCCCCCTGCTGGGGGTCCACGAGGTGGTGTTCGCCTTCGTGACGGACGAGCAGGCCCAGGGCACCCTGCGCTCAGCCAAGCTGTTCTTCGATCTGTTTCTCAGCTCCTTCCAGGTGCCCGCCCCCCGCCCCACACACACAGCTCCCACGCCCCCTTCGGGGCTGCCCTGACCACCCCCTCTCCCCAGGGCCTGCTGGTGGCTGTCCTCTACTGTTTCCTCAACAAGGAGGTAGGTGGGGAACCTGGAGTCAGCCCCGGGGTTGGGGTCAGGGTGGAGCGGAGGTGCCTGGCCCTTGCGTCCACCTGCATTTGTTGAGGGTAGTGCTGGGTGTCCCGCCTCCGCCGACGGGCCGGCCTCAGCCTTTCCTCCTCAGGGGGCACGCAGGGAGGGGTCCCCCATGCCCACAGCCCCCCGCACTCCGTGGTGACAGAGCCCACCTTGCTCCATGTCTGGGGCCATGGGGCCTGTCGGGACCAGTGGCCGGGGGTCCTGGGCGCTGGGACAGTGGCCCACCCTGCCGCGGCCCTAGGTGCAGGCGGAGGGGCGGCGGCGCTGGCACCGCTGGCGTGCGGGCCGCGCCCTGCGGGAGGAGCGCCAGGCTGGCAGCTACGCGGCCCGGGCCCCCAGAGGCCCCTCCAGCGAGAAGCTGCCGCTCTCCAGGGGCAGCCAGAACCCCTCTCCGCTGGACAACCCAGAGCCACGGCCCCTGAGCAGCCCCGCCATCCACGTGTCTCCCAGCGGGGCGGACTGAAGGGCAGGGCCTCCCGTTCCCACGCCTGCTGTGCTGTGGGGGGTGCCCCGCGGGGCCGGGGTGCAGTGGGGGGCTGTCCTGTGAATGCCCGCCTGTGCCCCTGTGTGTGTGTCCTCCACAATAAAGACCGGGCACGGCATCCACTGTGCACACACCCTGGGGAGCAGGGCTGCAGGGGAGGGGGTGCTGGGCCCAGGGCCTCCCTGGGCAAGGGAGCAGCCAGCGCGATGGAGCCCTGAGCTGGTGCACCCCCTCTGGGAGCCCCCACTTCACAGCTTGGAGCCGAAACCCGAGGGGTCCCAAAGTGTGCGTGGCCGCCAGCATTACACTCCGACCCCACGGGAACACCCCTGCTTCCCCGCTGGAGCCATGGCCTGGGCTGGACTCAGGCCCAGCAAGGACGTCCCCGGACAACCCAGAACTGGGTGTCCTCTGCTGGCCTGTTTTCATCCCGGGTCTAGCCACCTGGGCAGTTCGCAGGCCACACGGCAGACTGAAATGGAGACACGAACCCCAGAATTGAAATGGTCCAGTGAAGGCCTCTGCATAGCCCAGCTCTGCCACTTGGCAGCGCCGCCCCCACCGCACTGCCACGCCAGGCCTGCATGCAGGGGCAGCTGTGTGCAGAGGAGATGCGTTTGTGGCGTGGGCGGACACCACGCTCGGCAGGCAGGGCGGGCTGACACTAGCCAGGACAGCTAAGTGTTGGCCAGCGGGGGAGCAGGCGCTGCACTGTGGGGGGCCGGGTGTCCGGGGTGCACTCTGAGGTCCGAGTTGCCCCCTGGGGCACAGTGTGTCTGACAGAAGCTGGAGGCACGTGCAGTGGCAGGAGCTCTCGGGGGGCCGTGGGCACCCCGTACAGCACTCCTGCAGCAATGCGGCGATGCGGGCGGCTATGTGCGTGAGGGGCTCTGTCGAAGGAGAAGGGGGCCACGGGCACAGAGAACACTAGCCAGACAGCTGGCCAGGTACCCCTGCACTGCGTGCCCTAGGGGAGGGGTGCCCACAGCCCCAGCCCAGCAGCAGCTCAGGCAGAGTCTGGCTAATTGGAACAAATGGGAGGGCAGGCGGCCTCTCAGCAAAGGTAAATAGAATTACTCACCCGCCTGGCACTGGGGCCCCCCCAGGGGGCCTTCGCCCCTGCCATCCACGCCCACTGCGGCCGCAGCTGAAGCAAGGAGTCACGGGGGAGGCTGGTTAGGGGTCCGGCTCTCCTGTGGTCCAGGTGGGCGGCCTGCGTCATGTGATTAGCGGGGGCTGCAGGACTCGAGGGCAGTGCCAGGCCTGCAGGGGAGTCCTGAGGCCCCCGAGTTTGAGGCTTCAGGCCACTTCTTGCCCCAGGGCCCCTAGCCCCGAGTCCCCTCCGAGCCCTTGCCCACAGAGGCTCCCCTGCCAGCCCTGGACGCTGGGAAGCCTGTGCAGGCGCGAGCTCCCCGGCGACTGCCCTGGGAGGTGCGCCACTCACCCAGGGGCCTCCCCACGACTCTCCCCGTCCTGGCTCCCTCTGCCCTTGTCCTTCACCCAGTTGCTGTCCCCAAGGGAACTAGAGCAGGCCGGGGGAGTCAGGGGCGGAGGTGGAGGCCCGGCCGGGGCTGGACGTGGGTTCTGACCAGCAGCCCTGCAGGTGCGGTGGAGGGGGTTGGGGGGTGGCACTAACTTGGGGCCCAGCACCCCACACAGTCTCACTCTCCATCTAGGCCCTGCTGCCCCCCGAGTCCTTCCCCTGGGCCGTTCCCCCTAAAGAATGCAGAGGTACTGCCAAGCCCACGAGTGCGCATGCGTGCCTGCCACAAGAACAGGTGTGGAGGCCAAGAAAGAGGAAATCAGGGACTGGGATGAGCGGGTCTCAGACCTAGGACAGTCCCATGAAGCCCAGGAGGGCAGCTACGTGCCAGGCAGAGTAGGTCCCCGGGGCCGAGGGGCTCCAGGAGACACCCCCAAGGGGATCAGAGCAACTGGACACACCGGGAGGAGCTTCACACGACCTCGTGGAGAGCTCAGGACTTAATTCGTATCAGTACACAGAAAACGAAGCAAATTTTTTTTAATAAAGCAATCACTAACTCAGGGAAACAAAAAGTTGAGCAGAATAGAGAAATGTGACAATTTACCACATGGCTCAGCTCTGAATACGTAGACACTGATGTAACCCGACGAGGGAGAACACGCACCCTCTGGGGGGCAGTGGAGGCACCGCGGGAGGGGGCGGGGCGGCGAGAGGTCGGGAAGGGGCAGGTCTCGGGTGCTGTTTAACAGCAGAAATGCGAAGCATCAGCTCTGTGGACGCGGCTGCCTGCAGGCCAGGGGCGGAGAGGCGCCTCCCCTCCTGCAGCCCCGCCAGCTCCGCCCCCCGCCTGCTCCCCACGGTGCAGTTCCTGGGCTCCCCCTTCCTCCATCGATCTGTAAAAGTCAGTGTTTGGGTGACTCCCAACCTCTCTCCCCCCACCCCGTGATTCCCCAAGTCCACGCTGCAGACTCGGCTTCCTACTGGCACCCCAACTCCACACGGCCACGACGAGCTCCTCACCTGCCCCTCAGCTGAGGGGACCTCACAGGCCACCCTGCTTCTCCCCTGAACGCCCACCCCCCGCAGCGGGCCTTTCACACCCAGGTCTCCTGCGAGCCCACTGGGCCTCACCTCACACCAGCAGTGCAGGAGACAGAGGGGCCGCGCACAGCGCACGCCGCCACCAGCCAAACCCGGACCGTGGGGAACTCCACCACCGAGTCCCCGGGGCCTTCGAGACAGGAACGGAAGGGAAAGGGAGGGACGGGAAGGCTTCAGGGTGTGAAGCAGCCGTGGCGGGCGCTCTGCCTGGCCCTTGGCCCCTCACTGCCTGGGAGACGGCCTCAGACCCCAGGGGCGTGCGGGCCGCGCGTTCACGCTGTCAGGACTGCCGCTCACGCTCAGTGCACTCACACAATCAGCGCTCACTACATTGTTGACAGAAACACAAGCTAAGAAGCCAGAGTCAGGCCAGTCTGTCGCTGGTTCCCCGTCCTCACTAGCAGGATGGGGCGACTAAGCTGGCCCCACGGAGCAGCCGAGCCTGGATGAAAGCAGCGGTGTGTGCGCTTGGGGAGCAGACACACCCGCCCACCAGGACGGTGGCCTCGCCCCCAGCTGCCCTCCCCTCATGAGGGGCAAGGGCGTGTCCCCAGCCACTCACAGCTGAGTAGCCCCACTGCCTCAGACTGGGTGGTGGCAGCACAGTCCTGGGTGCCACCTCTGCCAGCAACTGGGCTAACAGTGGGGATGGCTGACATCAGTCCGCTCTGGCCTGGACGCCGAAACCCCTGTTGTGGCTAAGCCGAGAGCTCGCCCATGTGGCAGAGCCCCCAGTGTCTGGACCCCGAGCTGGGGTAGGCAGCATGGGACCACAAGTCTGCTGCCTGGTCGGGGCTCCGGGCCCGACTGCGCCTCTGCAGACTGGGTGCTGTCCCCCCAGCTCTGTGCTCACTGCCCCCAGCCCTGCCCCCCCACCCCCCAGTGCTGAGCCGATCACCCTCCCTCCCAGCCTGTGGCCTGTTATGTACACTCCTAGCTGCGAGGTGTCTTTGGCAGGACAACCCCAGGCCAACGGCCTCCATTTCATAGAGAAAACCTTGAGGGGTGTACCATGGGCCCACTCAGGACCCTGGGGTGGGGGGTTATAGGCCCAGGAGCACCCCCACTTCTGGGTGAGGTTAGGTGGCCCAGAATTCAGGCCCCAGTGTGGCAGAAGGCGGCTGAGGAGGGAGTCCCCCTTCCAGCCCACAGGAGGGGAGGACCCACAGGCCTCTCGGAAACCCAGTCAGGCTGACTTCGAAGCAGTTAATATGTTAATGAGCTGACCCCCAGCAGGCTGCCTGGAGGGCCCAGCACCCCTCTGGAGCAGGCCTCTGGACCACCACAGCCCACCCCCTCGCTTTGCTCAGGAGGGGAACTGAGGTGGAGCCTGCCATGCAGCAGCTGTCCCGGCCATCTGAAGTCTTGTGGCTTGTGCTCCCTGTGCCAAGGCTGAAAACCTGTCAAGTGCATCCATGAAGAGACGAACAGTGGCAGCAGACACGAGCTCTGGGCAGCCACCCAGGAGGTGGACACCAATCTCCACCTGAGGAAACTGAGGCTCAAGACAGCAATCTGCTCAAGGTCACAGGTACAGCGAAGGCTGGCTGGGTTCCAGCCTGCCCTGCTCCCTCCCCTATAAGACCCTTGCTGGCCACCAGGAGTAGGGCTGTTTCCGCCCCTTGTCCTACCTCATCCTGTGGTCAAGGTCACATGGGGTGGAGGGTGTGATGTGTGCCCCTGGCCCACACCTCCTGCCCAGCCCAACAGTGGAGACCAGCTCAGGCGACCCAGCCCTGGGTATGGGAACTCTTAGCAAAACGCCCCACTGGTCCCCAGGAAGCAAACGAGGCCGTGGGGTTACCGGGAGTCAGCCAGGGCAGCGGCCGGCGCCCAGAGGCAGCGAGCCTCAGAGGCCATCACACAAATCGTCCTTCCTACACCCTGGCCCTGGGAACCACCTCCCAGAGATGTCTCCAAAGCCACCAATGAGGTTACTCAAGCCCCAAAATACTCTTCTGGGAAAAGATGCTTCCAAAATAATTTCCGCTTTGTCTTGTCTGGGTCTGGCCTGCCAAGGCTTTCTAGGTTTGAAGGTCAAGCGCACTCAGGTCTCTCGGGGGTCCAGGACTATAGAGGGGCTGCCCCCCAAATACCACAGGAGCCCAGACCCACCCCAGCCTCTGTCCTCCAGGAGGCCTCCGCCTCCCACAGGTGGCCTGAGCACCCCCTAGTGGAGCCCAGGCACCAGACAGAACCTCTGGGCCCTGGGGCCTCGACCATGACCTGGGAGTCCCGGCACCGCGTGGACGGCGGGGCCGAGGCCTGACAGACCACGAAGACGATGCAGTGCCGCCCGCCTTTATTCACTGGCCCTCAGGCTCGCCACAGACTTTTGGGGAGCACAGGAAGAAAAAGGGGCCCTGGTGACACTCCCAGCACACTGCACAGAGCCAGGACCCCCCAGGCGACCTCACGCCCTTGCCCAAGGGGGCTGCTGTGGCCACAGGGCTGCAGACACCAGGCCCATGTGAGGGGTGACAGTGGCGTCCCAGGCCCGGAGAGCCATCCTGAAGCTGATGCAGGAAAGAAGGCGCCAGGGCTGAACAGTGTGGGGGGGAGATTTGCTCCCCAGTGTGTCCGGGCCAGAGAAGCAGCGGCGTGAGGGACCCCACGCTGGCCGTGGTGGGGCTGCCTTTTTCCGGCCTCCTGACCACCTCAGGGTCACACCTGGCCTAGTCCCACAGGCCCAGGCGACAGCAGAGGCCCCCTCTTCTCCCTCCTGATCCTGGAAGTGGCCGGGGGTGGGGGTGCAGTGGACGCGATGGAAGGGAAGGGGAGTCAGGCTCAAGACCCTGGAGGGTGGGCAGGGCCTGCCGGCTCCAGAGACAGAGCAGGGGCTGGCAGGGCCCAGACCCTCTCAGTGCGGGGGGCAGCTTGAGATCTCCCCCCAGGAAAGGACGGGGCTGGGGGAGGAGGGGCAGGCCTTGGCCATCAGTCACAGGTCCTGGTCCTGGTCCTGGGGTTTGCCTGCAGAGAGTACGGCCCCTCCCCCTCCCCCCCAGGAGCTGGGCCCACAGGAGGGGAGGGGCCACCACCGGGAGGCACCAATCTCCCAGAGGCCAAGGGGGGCCCGCGCGTTAGGACTTCTTGGCGTCCTGCGTACTCCGGCGCTTCAGGTCGCTCAGGTCGATGGGCTTAAAGGCTGTAGGGGAACAGGGCAGTCTGCGGAGGGCGCACGAGGGGCAGCTTCCTGTCCTCAACCTGCCCCCACCTCCGGAAGCCCTGGGTCCCGCCCACCCTGCCCCGCAGCCTCCCAGTGGGAAACAGGAAGCGGGCGCCCCGCCCACTCACTCTTCAGGCTGGGGTTAGGGGCCTTCTCCACGTACTCCTGCACCAGGCCCCGCTCGCTGCCGGACACCTGGCTCCGCAGGTCCCGCTCCACGCCCTGCCAGGCTGCAGGAAGGAGGGCGCCATGCCAGTCCAGCCCACTGGGCAGAGTCTCGGGGGTCGGTGTCCCAGCCAGGAAAGCATCCTTCCCCTTTCCCCACTCGGTGTCCCCACAGCCCCTCCGCAGCCCCCCAGCTCCCCCTTCACAGCATTTGACCCGCCCCCCCACCAGCCAGTGTTTGACCTACAAGTTGTCCCCAGCATAACCCCACTGCCTGGGGAGCCCGGGCCCCTCATCTGTAAGACGCCCAGGGCTGTGCTCCCCCCCAGCCCCGCCCCCAGCCTCTCGTGCCTTCTCCATCCCCCGCCCCCGCATTTTTGCCTTCTCCATCCCCCGCCCCAGCACACAGCCACCCACTTCTGGAACAGCCGTGGGCTCCGCAGAGTGCACCGTCTCCCACAGCAGCCCCCTCACTCCGAAACAACCCAACCAGCTTCAAATGCTGCCTTTTCTGGGGTGCTGCCTGCTCCCCATTACCAGAGCCTGTCCTCAGCACACAGGTCCCATCGCCCCACCTGCCCGGGCTGGGGGACAGTGCGGTGGAACCCACACCCCGAAGGGCAGGAGGGGCTCGGGGGAGGTCGGGGCACCCCGCACACCTTCGTAAATGAAGCGCACATTCTCCTCGTGGGCCGGGGTGAAGATCTCGCTGCTGGTGGGGGGGGAGCGGGGGCCACTGTTCCTCTTGCCGTTGTAGACAACTCTGGAGACAGGGGAGCTGTGGGGGCACGTGAGGGGATGCTGAGGGCAGAGTGGGGACCCCACTCCCCCGCACCAGGCTGGCCCCCACTCCGCTGCCCGAGACCCACCTGGTCATCGCTGGGGTGTCTGGTCCTCGTGTTGTGCTGCGGATCCCCTCGGCCTCTGAAAGGCAAGGCCGGGAACACGGGGGGATGGTGTCACCTTCTCCAGAGGGTGGCAAAGAGGGGAAGGGCATGGGGCGCATGTGGCTTCTCCCTTTAAGTGATGACACGCTGCTATGGCCTCACTGCCACCAGGGGACCCCCGATCCAGGCTGGCTAAGGATGCAGCGGACTCTGCCAGTGGGAGCCAGGGGCAAGGGGACCAGCAACAGGCATGGCTTGGAGCAGCCTGGGCCCCCAGCACTGGGGAGCTCCTCCCCCAGAGTCAGGAACCACGGGATGGCGACATTCATTCCCCTTTCCGGAGTGGCAGGACAGCACCTCCCCCAGCAGAGCTTGGGTCTGCAAAAAAGGCCGCGGGCTGCGGTCGTCCCTGGGACCCTGACTTCTCACGGCCTGAAAGGTGAGCATGTTGTTTCCATGGCCTCACCTGTAAAAGGGGGGCATGCTTCCTAGTGGTGAGGGGCCCAGGGGATACCGGGAGCCTGCCCAGCTTCCTGGTCCCTAGACATGGAAGCCAGCAGGGTGGGAAGGCTGCAGGAGGGGTGTGAGCCCAGAGGAAGCTCCAGGCAGGACCTAGTGGTGAGAGCCTGGAGCACCGCCTGGAGCACCCTCTCCGCCCAGAGTTCTACAGCCCTGGTGGGAGTCTATTTTTAGGCTCACTCAAATGTGCCAGCTGGACGGCATCCCCTCTCTGGCTAAGGACACACAGCACAAAGTGAGGGAGCCAGCTACAGGGCCAGTCCCAGGCCTGGCCTTGTCCCAGAGCAGGGCAACCGCAGGTGCTAGGGGGTGGAACTGGGGTACCAAGAGCCTCCCACACCCACCTGGAGCCCAGTGGGCCCAGAATGCCATGTATGAGCCACAGTCCCTCGGGCAGGGAGGAGGGGGGCGGAGGAGTGTCCTCTCTGATTCCCTCAGCTGTGACAAGTGATTGGCATTCACAAGTAAACAAAAGCCCACAGGCCAAGGCAAAAACAAAAAAACCATAAAACCAGCCTCCTGGAGGCAGGCAAAGAGGGCCCTGTGACCCTTCCAGGCCGGGAGCCAGGTCGTCACAAAGTGACTTCTCCTTTCTTGGACATGGGGACCTCCAGCCCATGGTTCTCCTGCCCAGGGCAAAAACACAGGAGCGTACCCTGGGGACACTCGCCCCAAGGGGCTGTGGACAGTGGGACAAGGCAGGAAAGCTCCAGTGAGGCCATCCCCTGTCCTCTTCTGTCTGGCGATACTTCAGGGCACCTGCCTCCCCAGCCCCGCCCACCCTGGGCCTCTGCTCCCAGAGCTCCTCAGCCCCCGCTGCTCAGCTTCCAAGGGCCGCCCAGTCTTTCCGGGCGCGGTGCCCCTGGCTGCCTCCCTACCCGCTTCACCTCGGCAGTTCCCAGGCCGGGCCCAGGCTACCCCAGAGCAGCAGGCCTGCAGTGGACTGGGCCCTCGAGCTGAGCCCCAGACCCCTGGAGCCCTCGGTCCACAGGCTGAGGACCCGCCCCACACCGCCATCGGCTAGGCTTCTAGACCAGACCAGGAGCTTGTGGAGGTCACTAGTTCCTAGACCCAGGGCTGTGCACTTATCACCAAGCCCCCCACCCCTGCATAGCGGGGAGGTGTCTGGCCAGACTGCACTGGAGGCACCTTTGCCAAGTACCAGACCTCAGCAGGTTCTCACGTCCGGGACGTGAAAGACAAGTAAAACAACATTTAAAAAGAAAGCCATGTCGGCCTCCTCTCATGGGTGGGGGAGGGTCACACCCCCGCGGGGCCTGACTTTAACAGCCTGTGTCCTACCGCCTGGCTTCCCCAGCCCTGATGAACCTCCAAGTCCGCCCACTCCCCTCCGGCCCCTCCGCAGGTTTTCTCACTAGAACCTTTTTCTGGCCCCGTCCTGCTGAGACCTCGCCACTGGCAGGACCCAGGGGTCCCCTGGATGCACCAGCAGCCTCCAAAGAGGCCAGGGGCCTGCAGCTTGCCCTCACCACCTCCTGGGACTCCTCTAAGGAGTGGGGGCTCCGAATCTGACCCCAAAGGAAATGTCCATCAAAATCAAACACGTGCAAGCCTGTGACAGCCATGCCGGTCCATCGCAAGCCTGTGACAGCCATGCCGGTCCATCCGGGGGACAGGTGGAATCAAGACCTGGAGCAAGAGGTGCCCACTGGACCAGGATGACAAAATCTCCACTGACCCCAGCAGGAACGGCCTCAGGGGAGGAAGGGGGACACCCAGCAAGAGGCCTGGTCAGTATGTGATGTATGCTTGGCTGAGCAGGGCCACTGAAGAGAGAGTGTGGAGGGACCAGGTGACAAGAGGCTGGAGAGAATGGCACAGGCCAGGGACACCCAGAAGGACCCACCAAGCCAGAGAGGTCCGCTGAGGTCAGAAGCCTAGGTCCCACGGGACAGAGACCCCTGCTTAGCTCAGGCGAAAGTGTTGGGGGTGCGGCCGGGGTGGGGACAGGGGCTCAGGCGGAACGCCCAGGCCAGAGAGTGACCTGGCCTTCACTGCCACAGCAGCCGTGAGGGCAGACCAGGGCGCCCCACTTCCCACGCCCTCCCCGCGGCCGTCTCCCCGCTCCCACTCGCAAAGGCTACCGGCAGGAACACTTCCTTGTGAGCGAGTTCCCCACGCCCCGCAGGCCACCAGCTAAAGGGACCTTTTTTGTGCTTCACTAGCTGTGCAGTGGGCTGCGTCGTCCCCCCCAGTGCACCACGATGTGAGGCGCTCAGGGTCACTGCTGTGGCACACCTGACAATCCCACCACAGTCCTCCCTTGGCCCACGAGCCCCGCCTTCCGCCACCAGAACGCTCTGGAGCTTCCGCCACCATGCTCTTCAGTCACTCCTTCCCATTCCCAGGGGCGGCCACGCCCCAAGTGGGGACAGCGTCCTGCACCACCCTCCCGCATCCCCATACACGCAGATGCCACCACGATCCTCTCAGCACTCCTCCCCGAGTCGCTCCCCACCTGACACCACCCGCCCTCCCCTTCCATCAAGCCCTGTCTGGCCCCAACCTACTTCACCTGGTGTCACGAGCTCCTGGATCCCCTACCCGCCCCAAACACAATCTCTGCCACAGAGCCACCCCTGCCTGCTGCCATCGCTACAGACGACCACACGCTGCCCCCTGCCACACTGTCAACCCCGAGCATCGTGCCGGCTGCCTAGGCCACAGCACCTGATGGGCCGTGTGCTGGGCACCCAGCATGGTCCAGCCCACTCTGGGGCTGACGGTCCTCCAACCCTGCCACCCCCAGGCAAGTCTGTTTCCTCTCTGGGCCTCCATGTCCTCATCTGAGCCACAACGGTCCCCGAGGATGCTCACCCTGCCCTCCTGCTCCACAGGGATCCAAGCACAGCCACGTAAAGCCACCACCTCAAGTGAAACCTCCGTGGCTCCTGATCCAACGGACAGACCGGCCACCAGAGTACGCCGTCTGACCTGCACTCCCAGAGTGGAAGGCTGTTGGTGCCGAACCGTGAACCAGGACAGCTCTGAGCAAACCAAACATCAAGCCAGCCCACCTGGAGGGAGGAGGAGACCCGAGATGCACAGGCACTGCGGCAAGACAGCACAGCCACCGGCTGCGGCGGGCGCTTCCCAAGGGCTGACCTCAGGGCGCCCCTGCACTGGGTGCTTGACACCTAGCTCTCGCCCTGCACAGGGCCAGGAAGAAGGTGCCCTGACGGCTCCCACTTCGGAGGCTCGGCAGGTGAAGTAGCCTGCCGCCCAGTAGAGTGGGGTCTGGACCCCAACCTCTGGGCCTCCAGGGCTGGGCCCAGACAGCTTGGCTAGCCTGAGCACCCCAGAACCCCCTCTGCCTCTGCCTGCCCGCCAAGCAGGTTCCCAGAGGCCCTGACACGGATGTGGCCGTGCGCAGACACGCGGAGGGACCTTTCCTCAGCAGGGACCCATGTAGCACCTTGATCTTCCAGGGGAACCACGGGCTCCTGAGACCTCCTGAGACCTCCTGGGGAGAGGTAAGGCGGGGGGCGGGGAGCAAAGCCCAGCCTCTGTACCCTAGTCTCACACTCTTT